CTATGGCACGTGTGCCAAAGGCGGCACACGAGCTGATTTTCCGTGGCACTCACACTGCCCGGGTCCTCGCCACCGGTCCGGGGGGCTCTGCATTTTAATTTAATTTTAAATGAAGCTTTTTAAACATTTTAAAAACCTTATTTACTTTACATACAACAATAGTTTAGTTATATAGTATAGACTTACAGAAAGAGTTAGTCTAAAAACGTTAAACTGTATTACTGGCACGCAAAACCTTCAATGAGAGTGAATAAATGAAGACTCGGCACAACACTTCTGCAAGGTTGCCGACCCCTGCGGTAGCTACTAGACAAGGCTGCCTCAGTCAATTTTAACTAGACACGAAGAATGCAAGCAAGCAGCTCCACAGTAAAACAAGCAACAGAGACACTCCAAGGAGTGTATGCGGGAGAACTAGACAGAGTGATGGGCACGCGATGAGCTACAGGACCATGAGGGTAAGCCATTGTATTTCAGTAGGTGAATTCTAATCCTGGGCTCCTTATTGTGGCTCCAGGACACACCTGTGAATACTGGGAGTGCGTTAAGGACGTCAGGACGGGGCAGCACTAGGAGGAGTACCCATTGTACAGATAGGTAACACAAGGGAGAAGTGACTCGCCTGGAAAGTTAGTGGTAGAGCTGGGAACAGAACCCAGGAGTCCCGATTCCCAGTCCCGCTCACAGATGGTCTCACCTTTAATATTTCCTGATGGTTTTCAGAGGCGTACAGCCTGCCATCCCGGACAATATCCTCCACCAACTGTTCATAATCCTCTGCAATGCCAAGCGAGAAAGGTAGTCAGGGGGAAAGCAGGTGGCATGAGCGCTCAGCTAATTCAGCGACAGGATGCTATTGTAAGGGTGGAATTCTGGGCTCCAGAAAGTAGCTAAACTGTACTCCGCCATGAGCCGAAAAGCTTCACTCCACAACTTATTGTCTGTCTCCCACATACCTGGATCCCCAAAATCTGGGGTGGTTCCCCCCCACCCATGCAGAACACAGATGTTGCCAATCACTGTACTCAGGTGTTTCAAGAAACTAATAGATCAGGCAAGACACTTTACCCTTGGGTTAGTTTAGAATGCCCCAGACAGGTGTATGGCAGTGTTGAGGAAACTCTGAGGCCAGGGAAGCTTTACGAGGCAGGACATTAGGTCATGAGTTCAGCCTGAGGCCCAGGGACTAGCTGCAGAACTGAGCACAGGGCAGATGCAGGAGGGTGGAGCGCAGGTGGGGCCAAGGTGAGGCAGTTAATCATCCAGGAAGGTACAAAACCATCTGGGAGAGAAGAGGGAAAGCCCACCCGGATTGGGAGAGAAGGGGCAGATTTACTTGGCACTTTACACATATTTATGGTATTAATGATCATCTACTCACTAGTCACTTCTTAAGTTTCGTTTCTAACCTCTTAGTTCCTTTCACTGTGTCTCGACAAGTACTGTACACTGGCAGCAAACTTCCTGACGTGTGTACCGTATTCCCTTCTAAGCTGGGTTGGTAGCCCTGCCTATTAAGATTGCCTGAGACTTCCCATTGTAAGACCCTGTTTTCAATTGCTGATAACTTTGCCATGCTAAGCGTCTGGACTGAAATTTCCCATGCCAGGTGTCTGTCTCAGGCTGAATTGTTTCGGAAAAATGTTCAGCCCAAAGAGTTCAGCCACCGCGTGTAAGAACAAAATAGGGAAAATATATTGTTTTGCCCATTTAAAAAAAATCTGGCAACCTTCTCTTTGCAAAGCTCTAGTGCCCTGGTGCTTTGGAGCAGGGACTTGAAATTCGGCAGGAGGGTGGCACTGTCCCCTTTCGTCATCCCAAATTTGGCCAAATTACACCTGGCAGCTTGCACATGCTTCGTACAGACTTCTTTGTTTTTAGCAGCTAAATTTCCCAAAGATCCCGGGCACACTGAGCATGCTCCTGCCTAGGGCCGAGCAGGACTTGCCCTGCAATGCCGCTCTGGGCTGCTGCTGAGTCTGCTGAGTCCGGGGCCGGGCACCTGAACGGAGAGCAGGGAGACTGGTCGCTTCTGAGCTTTCAATGACCCCCTGCTGGGCCCAGGTACTTGTGGAAAAAATAGTAGATGATCATGTAAAGAAAGACTATCAAATATCCGGGGGTAGCCGTGTTAGTCTGTATCCACAAAAACAACGCGGAGTCTGGTGGCACCTTAAAGACTAACAGATTTATTTGGGCATAAGCACCCACGAAAGCTTATGCCCAAATAAATCTGTTAGTCTTTAAGGTGCCACCGGACTCCTCATTGTTTTTAAAGACTGCATCGTAATGCATAGGCACAAGGGGCTGCGTTAAGGTTACACACACAAGCTTAATTCTGGCATTTCCTAACTTGTGAGTGCTTGACTTTGCCACCTTAACATTGGCCTTTTGTGTGTGTAATATCATCTATGGAATTCCAATCTCTTTACAATGCTCAATTTGAGATTTCCAAGACCACCAGGCGTCTGAGTCCTGCAGGCCGAGCATGTACACTGCAGTCCTACCCCTGCTCTTGCTATGCCCTCACATGCGCCATCTGTCCTGCGCGCCCCCACTTACCGTCGTAGGTGACGTAGGGGATCTGGAAGCCCCTGGCGCTGTTGGCCTCGCTGGTTTTGAAGTTGATCCACAGCTTGCGGGACCTGGCGGTGAAGGCTATGGGCCTCTCGTACGTCTGGCACGTCTCATAGGTTGTGATGGAGGAGGGGGAGGCTGCGGAGGGGGACACCACAGGACCAGGTGTTGCCTGGAATCATTCAGCCACACAAACACCCAGGTCCAGACATCTTTTTGTTTGTTTCAATATTGCGGGCGGGGCTCTCCTTGCCAAAGGGCCGTGTTATGAGAACACAGGAGCTGACTGTAGGGCTCCGGTTCTACTCCTTACTCCAGGGGCCACCTTCCTCCTCCACCATTCAGTAGGGGTACCAAGGCACCTGAGTGCAACATTTTCAGAGGTGGGCACAGATTGTGGATGGCCAGCATTGGTCACCCAGGGGCCTGATGTTCAGAGGTGCTGAGCACCACGGAGTTCAATTAATTCTATGGCCACCTTTGCAAACATGGAGCCGGGGCCCCTTCGCCCGACGGGACTGAGTGATGAGATTCTGATGTGGCGTCAGCATTGGGTGATGCAGCACAACAGCATCATATGGAAACTCTGCGCCTGGGGACTAGGTTGGCAAAGCCCCAGGAACTGCTTCCAGGCCTCATAGCACCCCAGGGACTGTTCCCACAGGGCACAAGATGGCGTCACTATAACCAGGGCAACACTTGGGAAGACATCTAGATGGAGACGAATCTGCAGCTGGGCAGAGTGGTCTCATCTCCTTGCCTGGGGCCAGGTGCCATGAGTGATGAACCACCAGGAGCCTTTACTGATGGGCATGCACCCAGCTCTGCAGGGAAGACAGCCCCAGGTAGTGAGGTATGTGGGGTGGATCCACTCCCCGCAAACCCCACTCCCCGTAGTAGTTACCCACGCACAGCCCAAGGATGCAGACTTCCCCATTAGGCTGAGTGCATCAAACTTGGCCTACTTGGGACCAAGCCAGGGGCGAAGGCAGCTCTTTAGAGATGCATCGAGTTCACCTGCAGCGCTGTCACCCTCTCCTCCACACATGCCTGCTCCATCACGTACTGGGCTCCGCCGCTCCCAGAGGTGTCCGCAGACCAGACAGCCTGGGAGGTGGGGAAGGGGGGCTCTCATGGGATTACCCAGCACCCCCATTGCCCAGCATGGCCACACCACAGCAATCGGTTACCTACAGTTTTTCCGCATGACCAAGACATCCCCGCACTCGTCCTCGGATGGTAGGAAGATCTCCGGGACCACGATGAGGATCTTGCGTTTTGGGGGGGGGTTGATGTTCCAGGTGCACTCGATGTTGGCGGGATAGTTGCCGGGGTAGTTGGGAGACTCGATGTAGCCAGTGTATTCACCCAGCTCCCCTCCGCACTGGCGGTCTGCAAGGCAACAAGGACCAGTGGTCACTGGGAGAATATGCTTCTCTGACATGGGGGCACTAGGCAATGATCAGCGGGCAGAAGAATTGGATCAGGCTATCCTGGATGTTCCAATCCTCTATGCACCGGGCTATCTGTGCCTACAGACGCACCTATGGTCACATCTATTAATGTGTGCATGTGATTGCGTGCATGGTTAGATGCAGCTGTCTGTGCACGTGATTGGGGGTGCATAAAGGGAAACAGCAAGAGGAGGTGGCCTTCTGCCAGGGCCAGGACTCAGACAGGGCCCTCTGGCTGGACATCATGCTAACAGGAAAACACAGCGACTGGCAGAGATTGTGTTGCACATGCGACATATCGACACAGCACCCGGACTGCCTGAAGTGCGTACTTTTACACTGGGACACGGACGTGGAGCCGTCGAAATCCGTGGTGGTGTTGCCGGGACAGGTGATGCAGTAATTCTGGCGGAAGTCTGGCTGGTAGGTGCCCACGGCACAGCGGATGCAGCGGTGGACGCTGGTATTGTAGTAATGACCCGGGGAGCACTGAACTATGGCGAGAGGGGAGAGGAAAACGTACAGTCAGTGATCAGGCAAGGAGGCATCAGCTCACTGAGTCATTCCCAGCTGTCTTGGAGCCACAGCTCTCCTAGCTCCGCCAATCAGACATTTTATTAAGCAGACATGAGTGATCAGAGCAACCGGCTCCTGGTTCCCATTCCCAGCTCTGCTACTCCTTGGGGAGAGGCGAGTATTCTCCCTGCTTTACAGCTGGGGAAACATGGCCACAGAGAAGTTAGGTGACCTGCCCAGGATCAAGCAGCACGTCAGTGGCAGAGCTGGGAGTAGAACTCAGGAGTTCCGATTCCCAGCTCCTACTCACACTCCCTGGAAGCTATGTGCAAAGAGTACTTTTTTTTTTTTTTAAGTTGACACAGGTATTCCCATGTGAACTTTGGGGAAAGCACATTCAAGGCTCCTTTAAGGTGTTAATTTAGGCTGCTGTGACCTTCCTGCTGTTTAGAATGGTTATTCTCTCTCTCTCTCCCACTCCCCCCTCGGGGCAGCGACATGGATTTTGCATTAACTTCAACGATCCCCACACTTTGCAGCCCTTTAATAAGAGGAGAAATTGCATCCACATCATCATGCACTGCTAACTGCAAAACTCGGCAGACCAGATTTCCTTGTAATAAAGCTTAGCCTAAAAATAAGCATCCAATTATTGCATTGTTATTATTAACCCTAATAAACACCAAGACCCCTCATAGCTTCGTAACAGCAACACTGCGGAGTCCGAGTCCATTACTGGACAGTGCTGGAGTGCTCCTTTTGTAAGAGTATTTCTGGGGTACTAAATGCATCTGTGCAGCGTTAGAACAGCCCTGCGAACATGCCACCAATTCTTGTTCGCTTTGGCAGCATTATTTAAAGGGTGGGCAGGTGGATTTTGTGCCTGGGCTGGTGGATTCGTACAGCCATCGTGCAAGGTGGCTCAATGAGCACGTAGCTTCTCAAGGAGATTGCAGTCTAACAGGAGAGCGGGGCAAATGGGACAGGGCGGGTGAGCGGATACCGCTGGGAAGGTGGGGGTGTAGATCGAAGCCAAGAGTCTTGGTGAAGGATGTGCAGGGCAAAAGGGAGCAGCGACGCAAGGGTGGGATTGGCCCCCCACTAGGCACTTGGCAAAATGAAAGCTTCCCGCCTCGCTGCCCACGTCACTGTTGTGACGGGGCCTGGGGAGCTGAAGAAGCAGAGGTGGGTTTGGGGATGTAACGATAATGAAGCAGGCTCAGTCCTGGGAACTCAATCCCCCAACCCCGCCTGGAGCTGCCCCGCCGCTCTGATTTCCCCTGGCTGTTCCCCTCCCAGATGCCGGCGGAGCTGCTGGCTTGGATGTACCTTTGGTATCGCAGTCCTGGAAGGAGAAGGCTCCCTCGTGTTTGGTGGTCAGCCCCCCACCGCAAGGGAAGCACAGAGCTCGCCCAGCTTCGGGCTGGTAGGCGCCCCGGGGACACGGCTGGCAGGGTATGAAGCCGTCCACTGAGCGATGGCCGGGGGGACACTGACCTAAGGCCCATTCGGAAATCAAAGAGAGATGTGGGTCAGTCGTGCAATAATGCAGCCTCCTCGTACCCTGAGCTCCACTGCATGTCACTGGTGCTGAACCCCAGACAGGGGGAGCCACAGGCAGCTCTGGCGCCTCCTCAGATCCGTGGGGTAGCCCCACTGGTTGCAGGCACTTTGCAGCAGCCTGGAAATTACCACCTTGTTGCCGTGTGACCCCCTGGTGACAGCTGCAGGTGGCTCAGAACCATTCAGCCAGATCTTTATTATTTACTGCAGCAGTCCCAAGGAGCCCCAGGCATGGGTCTGGCCCCCGTTGTGCTAGGCGCTGTACAAACAGGACAATGAGATGGTTTCTGTCCCCTTCTCTCCTGAACTTTGGGGGCTCTGATAAAATGGAGTGGATCCGATTCCCTCATGGTTCTGCTCTTACAACCTCCCACCCCCTTTGGCTCATGACTGGGATACATCCAAGTTTACCCTGCAGGAAGAACAGCCAAAAGCGGCAGCCCCCGGCAGTCATGCCGCCACACCTGCATCCTAACTGGGTGCTTGTGCTTCCCCCTTGTGTTTCTCACCCATCCTGTTCTGAATGGAGAGTCAAGGGACAGCTCCAAGGGCCTGTCTGTGGCCAGGCAATGCAAGGAGCGCTGGTGTGGAACCCCTGGAGCTGTTTCATGCCTGACGCCCGGGCCTTGAACAAGCCGGGGATGAGGTCTACAATGGTTTCTCTGCAGCGCAGAATGGAAGCCGCACGCTGCACTGGTTCTGCCGGTGCTCCTAACCCCATCCCACAATGCCGAGCCCACCCAAAGGCCCTTGCCGGGCCCTATGGGAAAGGTAGTCAAGAACGCCAGAACGCCGCAGCTGTAAGGTGCCTCTTGGTTCCTCGGCCAGCCTCTCTGAGGTCGCAAACAGCAACCGATCGACCCTGCACCATACCTGCACAGGTGGTTATGTTTGTTGCTCCGGCCGGGCCATACGCATCGCTTCCAGGGCAAAGGTCACAAGAGAGCTGGCCTTCTTTCTCCTGGTAGGTCCCTGGGGGGCAAGGGACACACTGCTCCATCTGACCGTGGTAATACATTCCCTGCAGGCAGCTAACTAAGAGAGAGGCAGAGCCGTTAGGGACACAAGTAGTGAGAACCCCCACCAAGCTATCCCCTAATATGCCTTATTCTGGCTGCAGATGAGAGGCCCTCGGGGTCCCCAGCTCCTAATCTTGACAAGTCAGTGCCTCTAAAGGGAGAACACATGGTAACTTCACCTATTGCCCGTCAGCACGTAGAGCACTGGTGCTGGCAGCGCTGGTGCTTGGGAGTTGTAGTTCAGCACTAGGGGCCTACAGCTTAATGTGCAACTGGCCCCAGGTCCCTAGCCCCCGGTTGTTCCCTTACCACACTTGGATCCTAGCCTTTGCTGCCCCGGCCCGCAGCTCTCCTGCCTCTCCGGGGACATGCTCAGCTTCCGCGCCACCTCGTAATCCATGCCCGCGAAGCGGATCAGGAATCGCTCCTGGTTTATGGACTTCTTCAGGGCCTTGATTGCAGACTTCAGCTTCTTCTCCACCCTCTGCCGCAGGCAGTTAATATTGCAGCTGGCTAGAGGTCAGAGATGGGGGAGGGGGTAGACTATCAGGGTGAGCAAAGGAAAAGCAGATGACCTCCTAGACTGCTCCTCCCCATCCCTGCAGGGACTAATGGTGTGATTCCCCACCAATCTTCTATCAGGTGTGAGTGGGGTGGCAGGGACCGGGGCAGGGGGGAACTCAAGCAGCAAAGGGGTATCTTCAGCTGGATTAGAGGGTTCTTCCTGACTACTCATCCCATCTCCCCACACCCGAGCCTGGGCTGCTGCCCACCTCTGCATTTCCACACGCTGTGGGTGATTATACATCACTGCCTATTCTACCCACCTCCTCTTTTAGTGCCCAGCACCGCACCTGGGATGGCTCTGGATGTAACTGTTAAAGTGGCACTGTGGACAGCAGGAGGCTCTGTGCAACATTATCACTGGCCAGAGAACTAGAACCAGAGCAAGGAGTGGCAAGGCAAATTTTCCCCACCCTTCCACATCAGCCTGCTTCATCTACGTCTTGCGGAAGCCCCTTCTAGAGGTGCAGAAGGGGTTCAGTTTCCATGGTCTTTCTCAGTCCTTGGCCTCTGGCCAGACCGCCGGTGAGGGGGCCAGTCAGTGCAAGCCGGGACGGTGGTTTTCATGACATGGACGCCTGCCCAGAAGGAGCTGATCTAAGAACTGCCAAGCTCATTTCACACAGGCCATGGAACATACTGCCTAGCAAGGTATGAAGGTAATTAACAGCACAAGGCAGATGTTATTGGAGAGTTCAGCCCAGTGCACACTGGGAAAGCCAGGGCTCCTACTGCTACGTGGGCTCACCTTAGTTCCAGTGCATTCTGGGATAGACAGGCCTCTCTCCTCAGGCCCAATGCACTCTGGGAAAAACAGTCCTCCCAGTCCCATATCCCCAAACTTGGGATTGTCTCAGGCCCAGTGCACTCTGGGAAAGCTGGTCCTCTCAACCCTGTCCCTCACCTGTGACCTCTTCCGGTTTGATTTCTGCCTCAAACTCCAGGGTGATGCGTGTCACCTCCTTGTTGGGGGAGTTGCGGGCCCGCCGGCCTTTGCCCTTCTTTGATGAGTCGCACTTGAGGTTCACGAAGGTCACCTGGCAATCCGAGCAGGGGGCCGCCCCGCCTGGAAGAGTGGGGGATAGAGAGTCAGGATCCTCCCCACAGTTCCCTTGGGAAACCCAAGCCCAGGTGGTCAATAGGGCCACTTCCCTCCACACAGCCGTAGAGAAACTTACACGGCTGTTTTGGGGGTGGGGTGGGGTGTAGGCCTCACCTGGCGCCGCGTGCTTCCCCGACTCATCCAGTTTCCCCTTCACGCGCGGGTGCAGGTGGCACTTGGCGTCCTTGATCTTGAAGGAAGCCTTTTGTTTGATTGGAGCAGCGACAGTCTCTAAAAGAAAAGGCAGGTGCTAAACACCAGAGGCACCAGCAGAGCCTCCCGCCATGGCAGCTGGGGGCAGGGGAGGCTTAGACCGGCGCAGGAGAGCGACCTTACCCACGCAGTGATGGCTGCTGTTGCCAGGCCTCTGCTGGGCCCCCTGGCGCAGGATGGGCGTCCCACAGCTCACCGTGTAGCTGCTGTCGGACTCTGCGAAGAGGGAGAAAGGAGGGATTCAGACAGAGCCTGGGGCTCACTCCCGGCTGGCTTCCGAAGTGCAGCTCCGCTGCATCGCCCAGGGAGGTCAGTGGGGGCTCAGCACCCTCGGAAATCAGGCCCTAAGCAGCTCACGTGTGTTGATCTGACCCCAACCTTTGACGCTCTAGAGACTGGTTCATTGCTAGCACAACCTGAGGGTCAGTTCAGGCAAAGCCAGGGCCCTGCTCAGCCGTTCAGCTGCAAAGCCTGAGATCCTGTGTACAGCCTCCTCCCCACTCCCACCCCACGGTATCCCCGCCAGGCCAGCTCCGGTGAAGGGAGTCCAGTCCCGCAAAGGGAGAGGCAGGTAGGGGCAATGGGGACAGCGTCCAGAGCTAGGGGTCCGAGAGGAAACAGGGGGTATAATGGATGGGGGCCCCGTTAGAAGGAGAAAGGGGACTGCTAAGTGTCCCAGCTGTGGCTCTGATGTATGAAGATGATCCCAAGGGCAGATCTAGTCATTATCTCAGTGGTCCCCAAACTTTTCAGGGTTGCCCCGCCCTTATCTCTGTCCACGCCCCCTTCCCACCCAGCTGGGAACAGACCTGTGGCTCTGTGGGGAGGGCTGAGGACACGGGTAAGGGGGCCAAGACTGGGGCCACAGCTGGGGGTGGGGCCAGGAGTGGAGCGGAGGCCCAGCCGGGGGCTGATGCTGGCAGCCAGGGCCCTGGGTGTGGGGCCAGGAGTGGGGCCCTGGGTGTGGGACCAGGAGTGGAGCCCCAGGCGCGGGGCCAGGAGCAGAGCTGTGTGGTGCTCTCTCCCTGGCCCCGGTGGGGGCTGGCCCAGGCCCCAGCCATGGTCCCCTGAAAGGTCCTCTTCACCCCCTGAGGGGGGTGCACCCTACAGTGTGGTGACTTCAGCATTATCCAGGCCTAAATCTAGCCTGTGCAGAGACATCCTGCTTCCCTAAGCCCCCTCTGTGCTTTCAACTACATATGGTGTTCTGGGGGGCACCGTTAAGCATCCACCTAAGTAACGGGCAGGGAGAGATCCATATTTGTAAAGCCCTTTGGGACGGAAGGCGTTGGAGAAGGCCAGTGCCCCGGGTAGGTTTCAGGGGAGATGTGGCGGCCACGGGTTGGTACCTGGCAGGAAGCGGGCCTTGGAGATGCAGGTGAGGGAGCAACTGTCCTTCTTGCCGTTCTTGTTGCAGGTGAGCATGGCCCGGTGAGAGATGGGGCCCGTCAGGCATTTCACCAGCTCTGAAGGACAACAAGCACTGAGTGGTGACAACAAGCAAGGGGCAACTCGGGGCCGACCAGCCAAGCAGGCGCTGCTCTGGGCACTGGGGGTGGGGAGTTATAATTGGGCCTACAAATTTAGCGTAATTGTGGGCGCAACTGAAAAAAAGTGAGTGAAACTTCATTCACGATAATCTATCGGCATCAATAGTGATTGAGAAAGTTGCAACGGGGAAACTGAGAGACTGAATTAGTAGAAACAAAAAGACCTCCTGATATCGCTCAAGGACGGTGTTATGATCGTCCCTGGTAAACCGAGCACCGTGAGACTGAAACATCAAGGAATCAAAATTGGTGGGTCGGAAATTAGGCCTAATTGGTGGGCAAAACAGTAAGGGGATGGGCTACTCAGCCCATCACTCCTTCTGGGATCCTTACAGAAAGAGACTTTGGGAGACAAATTGGCAACTGGAGTGAGCTTCACCATCATGGCTGCCACCCCCACCATCTCCTGGGTCCCTGGGCCTTCATCATTCTGATCCTGAGAGCTGTCCTGACTACACCAGGCCAGAGAGAGAGGGAGTCACATGACATCACCACCTCCACTGGCTAAATCCTGACCACCACCTGGGATGTGAGACTTTTTCTCTCCCCCCCGGGTGTGTTCTTCTCCTTCCCCACTGTCTTTCTTCAGTTTCCTCTCTCTCTGGGCAGGTCTTCACTAGGGGGGGGGGGGGGATGTCGATTTAAGATACGCAAATTCAGCTACGCAAATAGCGTAGCTGAATTCGACGTATCGCAGCCGACTTACCCCGCTGTGAGGACGGCGGCAAAATCGACCTCCGCGGCTCCCCGTCGACGGCGCTTACTCCCACCTCCACTGGTGGAGTAAGAGCGTCGATTCGGGGATCGATTGTCGCGTCCCGACAAGACGCGATAATTCGATCCCCGAGAGATCGATTTCTACCCGCCGATTCAGGCGGATAGTGTAGACCTAGCTCTCTCTCTCTCTCCTTTTTCCTTCTGGCTAAGAAGAGTCTGGCTTAGCTGGCCAAGACTGCCTATTTTGCAACACTGCTGGAAGCCTGTGACCAGAAAGAGGCAGCTCAAAGCCCATTTATTCTATCCAAATTAATACAACAGTGGGACTCTAACCTTGCTCCCAACTCCACTCCTGCCACAGCATCCATCCTCCTCCCTCAGCCACCTGCTTCTGCCGAGGGCCATCCTGGCAAGACAAGGGTGCGTGTGGTGTTCTGGGTTCTCCCGCACAGCTTTACACTCACACGCTCAACCTGGGGCCATGAGTCAGCAGATCATCTTGAGGAGTGAGAGGCACTTGCTGGGGTTTCACTCACTCCTTCATTCGGAGGAGGCTTTGCTCAGTCTATCCCGTCCCTTCTCTTGGCTGGTAATGGAAGGGACTCAACTGGGCACCACAGTGTTGCTGCGGGCTGTTAAAAACAGCTGCTGTGTCCCTCTCCAGAGGTCACTGCATGTCCGGGGCAGGTAAAGAGATTTTTATAGGTATATCTATCAGCAAAGTGCTTTGGGATCCCTTGGGGAGAAGAGCACTATGTAAAGAACAAACAGAATTTGACTCAGGTCAGAAATAGCCAGGGGAAGTTTGGCAGGTGAAGGACTACACTTTCTGATGCGCACTTTTCTAGGTGAGGTGCCAGAATTTCCTCTACCGCTTCCCAAACTCTCTCTTCGAGTCCAGCAGCCCAAGAGAGACGGGTTTGGGGGAGGAAGGGGGCATTTAGATCAGGAGACCACCGCATGAAAACCAGCTCCACAGGCAGCATGATCTGGCCCCCTGTGCTAGCAGTCTCAGCAGAGGGGCGAAAGGCAGACTGGGGCATGGAGCCTGAACCCGGCACGATACTTGGACCAAGAGAGGACGCTATATGCCGGGGTGCGTGGTCAACATGCATCCAGTGGCCAAATCCAACCCATAAGCAGCACCCTTTCTGCTGCACCGTCTCCCTATACAAAGCACCTTCACAGCAAAATCCACCTGGATCAAATCTATCCACCACGTCCTGGCAAGGACCGAATAGAAAAATGCAGATCTCTGTTCAGGCTTTGCCGGCTGACCTAAGCTCACCCACTAGATGGCAGCATGGGTTTTCTCTACCCACCTATGCAGTCCTTTTTGTTCCAGTGCAGTTTACAGCTGGCCGGACAGGTACACTCGTAGCTGCCAGGGGTGTTTACGCAGCCGAATTTACAGCCTCCTCGGTTGATGCTGCATTCATCGATGTCTGCAGGGAGCAAAGCGAGACGATTACTGAGAACTGGAATTGCCATGCTGCATAAAGCAAGCTCTGTTAGAGGTTACAGCAGGCTGAGCGGGGGCAGGGCTCCTGGATTCTATTTCTAGCTCTTGGAGTGTTCCAGCAGTTACAGCTGGTGGGGCAGAGGTTGGCAGCCAGGACTCCTGGGTTCTAATCCTGGCTCTGCCACTGACTCACTGCACAGTCCTGACCAAATCACTTAAGGCCCCATTTTCAAAGCAGCCTGTAATTCTGGGTGTCCAACCTGAGATGCCTCGGGCCGGCTCCCACAGCTCCGATTAGTGCCAGTGGGGAAGGCCACGTGAAACAAGAGGAGAATTTAGTCCAACATGTGCAGGGACGTGAGTCCCCTCTTCACAGCACCCTGCTGCATATCAGCTGTGACTCAGGACAGCACTGCCCCAGGCACTCTCCGTAGGGAGAAAGTAAGGGCACGCACTTCCGGACAGCAGCTAGCCCCGACTCCCAGGGCACGATGACCATTAATCAGTACCCTGGGGAGGGACACTCTGGAGAAAAGCTTGGAGGACGGCAGAAAATGAAGCTGCCCCAGGGTAACAAACAGGACAAGACCCGGCACGTATCCAGCAGCACTGCCTGTGAGGGTCTCAAAGCCCCGTGTGAGCAGGAACCCATTACGTCTCCCAACCCCACTCTACAGAGGGGCAAAGGGACTTTTTCCAAAGTCTCATGATAAGTCAGGGCAGAGCCAGGGAGAGAACCCAGGTGTCCTGGCACCCAGGCAACTGCTTTAACCACTAGCCCGAAACCTCTTCTCAGAGCCTCCCCCTGGAGCCAGGGTCAGAGGAAAAAAACTGCCAGCGGCTTCTCTGGTAGGATGTAGAAGTTCCCTGCTCAAACTCCTCATGACCCTAAGTCTCCTCAGCTCCCTGAAGCTTCTTCTCATCTTTGTCCCCTTGCTGACAGCCAGGCCGGGCACGAGCACAGCCCCATAATCATCCTCATCCCCACCCCAAGAGCTCCCTGCAACCAGCAATTTCAGCGGCTATTTCCATTCATCAGGAGCCATCCTCTGATCACTCCTCCCACAAGCCAACAGAGCGCCCACTGGCTGGGGAAAGCAACTAGAGCAACGGGTCTCCATACAGAGCTGAGCAATCCCCCCACCTCGCTGGGACTCCAACTATGGTCTTGGAGGTCTGCGAGCAGAGCCAGACCCAGTTCCTCCCAGCTGGGCAAGAGGGAAAGCGAAGGGGAAGGGGAAGGGGAGTGCAGGGCTGGGCAGAGATCCAAGGTGAGCTGAGAGGATGGTGAGTGACCAGGAGCAACCTCAGGGTGAATAGCCCATGATGATGGGTGCTATGGAGCAATCTAAGACTGAACAGCTAGATGGGAGAGGCAGACCGGAGATGGGGATAAGGGACTCTCCCTGCTCCCACCCCACTCTCTTGGGGTCAAGGTCAGTGAGAGGATTACTGTCCTGGCCGAAGGCACTGCCAATGTGAACCTGGTTTTGACCCAATCCCACCATGTCAATTGCTTCACAAGCTCCGCAGTGGATGGCAGGGGAGCTGCTCTGCCTTCCCTTCTTCACAGCTCTTTCGATCACCCAAATGGGCCGATCTTATTAGGGCTCACGTCACCCACCACTGAAATGCATCCGTCTCTGGGGTGGAAAGCGACAGCTGTGTTACAATGCACAGCAACGCTGCATCTCAAGAAGTGAAGACAAATACTGTATCTGACTGACCCCCAGGAAGGTGGGAAGGAATTTCTCAACTGAATTTGGTCAGGATGCGGGGGCTAATGCGCCGACTCCTGACACAAGTGCTATCGGTGGAGGGGTCTGTCATGAGCCAAAGGATCGGGGCCTTGGTTTTATTTCTTATCCCAAGTCATGGCAGCTCCTCCGTGACAGCAGCCTTTGCACCAACTTTGCTGGAGTGCTGAATTCAGGACTGACTCAGAATCACCAGCACCACCCTTGTCCCAGGCTGTGTTCTTGGTGGTTTTTCTCACTAACGAGTGGCTGCTTTCTCCACCAGCTGGAATTTCTGTGTGGCTCCACCTTTACTCCCAGACACAGGGAAATAAAGTAGCCCAGCCAGGTGGTGACAAACATTAGGCTCATAGGGACTAGACCCTCTGTCTAGATTGCCTCGCAGGGGCAGCTGAAGTGCTCGACAGAATCTTCTTTTTGTTTTCGATGTGAAATCTCTCCGTCGGTGGGAAAACCAATCACTCTGCTAGGACGGGGGACCAGCCAGACGTAGAAAGACAGGACTTAAAAACTAGATTCCATTTAGCGGCTTTGCTCTCAACGCTCAATTTGCATCCTGGATTCCTAGTTTGTCACCTATTTCAGCCACCCCACATTCATTGATTCATCAAGCTTCAGGCCAGAAGGGACCATTAACTCACCTAGTCTGACCCTAGGGTTGCCAACTTTGTTTGGATGAATTCCTGGAGATTTCATCACATGACATAATCTTTAGTTGAAGATTCATCTTTAATTCTGGAAACTCCAGGACAATCCCGGAGGGCTGGCGACCCTATCTGACCCTCCTATATACCTGGACAGAGAAATTCACCCCATGACCACCACACTGAGCCCAGTAACGGGTGTACTCCTAAGCGGTGTGACACAAACCAAGAGCCCTTCCCGACATCCTGCCTCACTCTCTCTGCAAACCACAGCCAGCAGGCGGTTTAAGACGGCCTCTGGCTTTACGAGAGGTTTTATAAACCTCCTCCCTCAAGGAACTCTTCTGCTCCCAATGGGAGGGACAGCACTTCCCTGTCCGGCGCGTTTAGCACATGCTGTGAGCGAGCACTCATGGACAAGTGTGGCTGCCTGTCTGTGTTGACCCGCTTGTGTGTTTGTGTCTGCATGCAAGTGGGCATGAAATCACAACAAGGACTCACTGGCTGTATAAACAGAGGCAGCCTGGCAAGAAAGATGGAGCAGAGCTGCATTCAGTGGGTGAAATCCTGCCTTCATTGAAGTGAATAGCAAAACTCCCATTGACTTCAGCAGGGCCAGGATTTTATCTGGGGCAGGCAGGGACCAGGTGTCTAACAGGGGGGCTCCTGGGTACAGGGTTCACTGAACATTTAGGTATGTGAGTTTGACAACACTAGTCCAGCCTGCCATGCCAATGACATCTAACTGAACTGAACTGGGATTATTTGGTCTGCAGAAGAGAAGAATGAGGGGGAATTTGACAGCTGCTTTCAGCTACCTGAAAGGGGGTTCCAGAGAGGATGGATCTAGACTGTTCTCAGTGGTGGCAGATGACAGAACAAGGAGTAATGGTCTCAAGTTGCAGTGGGGAAGGTTTAGGTTGGATATTAGGAAAAACTATTTCACTAGGAGGGTGGTGAAGCACTGGAATGCGTTACCTAGGGAGGTGGTGGAATCTCCTTCCTTAGAGGTTTTTAAGGTCAGGCTTGACAAAGCCCTGGCTGGGATGAGCTTGCTCGGACTGAGGCATCAGTCGGCTCAGTGTAACGCCAAAGCACGACCTGACATACAAGTG